TCTGTGAGGCCCTGATGTTCTGGAACACAACAGGTATACCTGGTTAACCTCAAACTCTGAGATCCAAATGCCTGTGCCTTCCAGGTCTTGGGATGAAAGGTGTAAACCATGACTGCCTTGACAAAATGAATTCTTAACACTTCAGTTTTTATATAATTGTGTAAATATAATAACATTATTAAATTATAAGGAAATGGAGTAAACTAAATAGTCAGATCCATCTTCCTGAAGTGTTTTCCCATAACAATGTCCACCACTTCCCTACACTATCAGGCTCACTACTGATCTCAGGCTTTGTTGAATCAGCATTTATTTACAACTTCCATATTGCCCTGAAGCATTAGCTTTCTAAGCTATACTAGTCACACTAGAAGTTACTATAGAAACTACATCTCAGAAAGGAACTGATTGGATACTTTTAAGCAAACACCCACATGAGTATATAAGAATAATCTAATCAACAGAGTTTTCACAATAAAATATAATCTCTACGTGCACAGAATTCACTAATACTTGTGGATCTGACTGTTTTCAGTATTACCTGAGTCATCACAGAGCCAACATGTTGGTCTTGTGGCTATAGTAGCAGGAGTTTCCTCTCCATCCACCACACCTGGCTTCCGTAGAAAGCCCAGGCTGTGCAGGTCATGCTCTTTGCAGCATACCTTTTCACAGAAGACAGGAATGAAGATTTTAATTTCGAAGCATAGTTGTCCGCATCAAGGATAGGCTTGATTGTCATCACATATGTTGGTTTATCATAGATGCTCTCTGTGAAGTTCTAATGAGTGTTGAAAGCCTCCCAGAAGCATTTCAGTATGTTCCCATAGGAGCTCTACTTCAACAGAAATCATAACATCACAATATAGGCCTCTTGCTTTGCTTATACTTTGTTTCCTATCAAACAAGATACAATATCACTTTATTGACACGCTTTACATGCTGGTCTATGTCATGTAAAAATGCAAAAGACTTTCAATCTTTTAAAGGTGTTGCTGAATATAATGCTCAGCAAAGCCAATAAATGTCCATGATAGTCTCAAATCCTTGCTGTGAACACAGCACTATCACCCCAAGCAACTGGGCATCAAACATGACTATCTTCATACTTAGTTCCCTCAGAAGTACTCATCCCAATCTATTGAACTTTAGCTTCTGTCTTCCTTAGGGAATTCACTGTTGAAGGACAGGCAGCCCTGATGGCTACATGAGACAACCATCAGATAACAATGTGCGTTGTAATAGAGCTTTTCATGCATTCTGTTTCTCAAGAGTGAATAATAGGCGTACTTCTCCACAGCACTAAGATTGATCTTGTTTGCCCCTTGTTGCACAGATACAGAAGACAGCCTTTGAAATAGTCTCACTTTGTGGTTATTTAAAACTTGTTAACACAAATATTTTCTATGTTGAATTATTTTTATTACAATGTCTCACATATCTGATTCTAAATAATACCTGTGGGTAAATGCTTCCAAGCAGGTATTAAATTGTATTATAGACAGTACTCATGTGGTAACTTTTTTGCTATTATAAATCCCTTGTTCTTGATTTACTTCATGAATCTCCCCATGGTTGCTGATCCCTGCCGTTGTTTTATATTATTTCTTTACTATGTGACATTTCTACATATGCCCACAAAAACATAGGAATCCAACACCACTGTTAAACACTCAGTCTTAAATTGAAACCTGAAAGTAATATTACATGAATCAAATTGTTTACATATAAGAATATACATGTAGGTATATGTATGCAGCATCAGTTAGTGAAAAGGTAGGTTACAAATTTGAAGGAGAGTGTGAAGTGGCATTTGGAAGGCTTTGGAAGAAAAGAAAAAGGAAAACATAGGAAAATCCATATCTCAAGTATGCAAAATCTAAAAGAGAAAGAGTAGTTTTTCAGAAATGTGCTTTCCATGGAGTATGGACTGGTTTCTTCCCTAATCCAATCTCAAATTGTACAGAATGCACAGAAGCAGTAATCCCATTTAATTGTCACACATTGGAAACAATATTCAATTGATAATAGGATCTGGTTTGGAAAGAAGAATATTTGTGACTCCTGATAGTAGAAGTAGGGTAGGACAAGGTGGATGTAATTGTCATAGTTCCATGCACACTTAAAGATGGCCATTGGATACCAGGCAAGACAAATCCCCATCCCAGAATAAGAAACTATCTCTAATTGATAACTGAAATAAGAGGAAATAAGATTTCTCCAATGAAGACAAACTGCATATACATACCTCTCCCTAAGGCTGGCTCCAGATTAGAATGTCCCCAACAACAATCAGTCGGTAGCATTTTTTTCACATTCTTCATCTCACAGTGCTTCATCTGGTCTTTTTATTTAACCCTACAGTTTCTATATATTATGGTTTCTGATTTTGTGTTATTGTGAGATTTCTGTGACTGTGAATTAGTGTTGGGGGAAGTCCTGTGCATTTGTCAATAAAGTACTGTTGAGCCTATAGGGAACCAAGATAGGAGGGACTAGGAGTCCAGGAGAACTCTGGGAAGGAGAAACACAGGGAGTCGAGATGTAACGCCATTGGGGTAGGAAGCCCAGAAACCTCTCCAGTAAGAGACATACTTAGAATAACAATTATGGGGTAATTACTTAAGTCAGAGCTAGCCAGTAAGAAACAAGCAAGGCCAACAGCTTCATAATTAATATAGCCTCTTGTGTGTTTATTTGGGACTGATGCGGATCTGGAACCAGGCGGCGGGAAGGCTCCTCTCAAGGAAAGCTTCTCTTAACAAAAAATTAGTATGTGTTACGCTTGAGGTTTTCTTTTTCTATTTTATATCTGGTTGTTATTTTCTTTCTTTGACCTTATTATGGTTTGTTATTGGTTATTATTGCTATTGTTGTTCTTGTTATTAGCTGTACTACTACTAATAATAGTAGTATTATCTCTCCCTCTCTCTCCATCTCTCTCTGTGAGGGTGGTTGAAATGCACATGCCATTTCAATATGGGGAGGGGACACATATGTTAATGTAGAAAACAGAGCATATACTCTGCTAAAGGTTCTCTGGTGCCTTCAATTTTTATACACGTTTTATTTAATATGAAGCTTTGAATATTGCTTGTTTGTGAAAGTATATCATTCATACCCTAAGAAAAAATCCATCCCAATACCTATGAAAACTATTCTATGCTAACACTGAGAACTCTCTTCTTTGGGGGCATGTATGCATATATGCATGTGGTGTGTGTGTGTGTGTGTGTGTGTGTGTGTGTGTGCATGTGAAAATCTGATGTGAGGGATGAACATGTGTGTATATCTAGGCAACTTTCAGAGGACACACTTTACTACCCATTCTCTGCTTCCTTCTTTTCTTAAAAAGATTTTATTCAATATAAATATATAAATGCTGTATACTTGTTAAAAGTTAATCTTCATAAACCAATCTAAAATTCCTCCCATATCCTCATTAACACTATTTTATGTTAACTTGGAGGACTCCCTTCTCTCCGTGTCTGGGTCTGTGTGTGTGAGCATGTATGTGTTTAAGCACATGCATAGATTTCTGTGTATGTATATGTAAGCATGTGTAGATATGTGGTGGAGTATTACCTTTCCTTTATGCTTTTTTAATTTAAATAAGAAATGAGCTTCTTTTTCCATGCCAAACCCAGTTCCTTCTCCCTCCCCTCCTCCAATGCCCCCGAATGCCCCCCATCCCATCCCTTTTCTGTTGCCCAGGGAGGTTAGAGCTTCCATGGGGGCTCTTCAGAATCTGTCATACCATTTGGACGCATAGCCTAGATCCTCCTCCATGTGTCTATGTTAAAAGAGTATCCCTCTATGAGGAGTGGGCTCTCAAAGTCCAATCATGGACTAGCGATAAATACTGATCCACTACCAGAGGCCCCATAGATTAACCAGACCTCCAAACTGACACCCAGGTTCAGGGGGTCTAGATAAGTCATATGCTGGTTTCCCAGCTCTCAGTCTGGGGTCCATGAGCAATCCCTTGTTCAGGTCAGCTGTTTCTATGGGTTTCTCCAGCCTCGCCTTGATGACTGCTGTCCCTGAAAATACTCTTCTATATTCTTGAAGTAAACTCTGGAGCTCATAATTAAAAATGTGGTTTTGCTTGAAACTATGGCACCTAGGCATATTTGATTTTAAAGGGAAAAGTAACCATTTGAATAAAATTCAAGGATGATAAGACTGGCTGTTCTATGTAAAGATCAGGAATTCATTTAACAAATCTCTGAGTGGCTCCTCAGGTTCTAGTTTTCTTTTTCTGAAATGCTACAATGCAAGAAAATGTCTATGTTGTTCTACTGTGAGCCACTATGTTGTAGTGGAATATAAACTGCACATGAGAATCTCTGCTACATATTAAACTTTATCTCTGAGAAGCAGCTTTCAGAGACCAGGAAGGAAGTAGGAAAGCAGTTAAGGGAAGAAAGTGATGAAGTGTGCAGTCTATCCAGTCTAGTTATGGTGTCATTGAATGACCAGCATGGCAAGATATTATTAAAGATAAATAGTGTCTTTTACAGATTGTCCACAACTAACACCTAACAGATGGGAACCATGACTTTCCTAACAAGAAAATAAATCATGCCTCATGATAGAAAACAGCAAAGATAATGTGAGTAATGACCCAAAGAAATTAAATGAAATTAACACTGCTTTCATAAAGCATTATGAACTCTAACTGTAATGCAAACTCTTTCTTTATGCTCAATGGATATTATTAACCCAGGAATACTAATGGGAATCAGCAGATTCTGTTTATATATGAGTGTGTGTGTTGTGTATAATCAACAATAATAATGAATAAGACATGAATATGAAAGGAATGAGGAGTACACAGAAAGTGTCGCAGGGACAGAGATGTGGAAATTATGTAAGTACTCTAGTCTTCTGTGAAGTAGTTAATTTCTTTAAAAAGCATTAAGGAGTCTTAGAAAGTATGTTTCAGCAGAGGAGCGGGATAAGATGAGGAATTGGGATTAAATGAACAAAACCCATTGTACAAATCTATGAAAATTACATTTATTAATAAAAATTAATGAAAGATGAGAAAAGACTCAACAGATCAGGTCAAGTATGAAGCTGATATTTCATGAAATTAAATGAAATGCAACACTTATAAGCCAACAAAGGAGGAGAGCTTTACCAATAGTTACAAAGGAATAGAATCAAGTGAATGCCACATCACAGAGAATTTGCAGGACACTGTGCTCAGGTAAATTAGTGTGGAAAATGAACAGCACATGTATGTGTGTCAAGTTTTATAAATTACATATAGGTGTAAAGAACATCATGTGATATCTAGAGAAATAGTAAGACATACACAAAATGTATGGAATTAAAACTATGGTGAGAAAAATGATAATGCACAGAAACATAATAATTTAATTGTGGTTTACACATATGAAAGTTATAGTGAATCACAAAAGAAGATAATCCCCCAAATTACAATACCACCAGCCAGGTGCAGTGTCTGTGTCTTCAGCAAAAGCTTCTCAGGAGAAGGCAGAGAAGGACATCTTCAGTAATTAAGTCTGAGGTCATCATGAGAAGGAGGTTGATGTCATGTGTCAGCATCATAGAAGGAAAAAGAACATGTTTAAGAAATAAACAGTGATTATTATGTAAGATTACTAAATCCCAAATTCATAGGAAAAATGTGTTAATATTATTACAGATACCATATTCACAATTAATGTACACATTGGATGCAGTATACATTTAGTTTACCATATGTGCCATTCCTTTGTGCTAAAAATCAGTATAAATATAAAATATGGACAGAACCAGAGTAAATCTGGTATCAATAATGCTATCCTTAAAATAATCATATTTCCTGTTTAAGAAACTTACTACAATAGGACAGCATACACACATAGACACACACAGAGAAACACATACACACATTTATATAAATATCATACAGGGAAAAGGAACAAGTTTAAAAACAAATAGTGAGCAGAAAATACATGAATGTATGCAGTAATATACATGTATTCAGTAATCATTTTCATATGATTAGTAAAATCTAAATGAGGTATAAAAATGCCCAATTTGATATCCTTATAAATCAATATTCACACGTAGTGGAGATAAAGAAGGAGTTGGTGTTCAGGTCCCCATATGTGTCATTCTTTTTTGTGTTAATGAAGAAAATAACTCTAAAACTAGTTGACAACCACAATAAATCTGGTATCAATGAAATTATTCTTAAAATGGGAACAAAACCAATACATTATGTGAATTAAAAATTTACTGTAATTTGCAAACACAGACACAGAAAAACATGTTCATGTGAATAGAAAATAGAAAAATATTTGAGCTAAGCTGTGGTCCAAAAATCTTGTGAAATGCATCTTACAGATTTTGAAAATACATGCAAGGTAAAATGTCCCTCAAAAGTTTTAGTACAAATGGATACTACAAGAAAATTGGATTTTCATTCACATAAAACATATTATAGATATTTATTTGTGTATTTAAGAGAGTGTGTGTGTGTGACTCTGTGTGTGTGAGTGTGAGTGTGTGTGTGTTTGTGTGAATAATGGATGAAAAAGAAGTCATGAATTTGAACTGAATAAGGTAGATTGTATGGCAGGATTAGGAGATAAGAAATGGAATGGAGGATGATGAAATTATATTGAAATTTCAAAGACTTAAAAACATATAATTGAGAAAAAACAGATCCAAACAAAAATATAGCTATATATATATATATATATATATATATATATATATATATATATAGCTTGAGATTCATGGTAACTTTAGACAAATAAGTGTCCATAGAAATGCCCAAAATACTGAAATCTTTCTTTAATGTGATTTAAAGCAACAACAAATTCAGATACTACAACTCATCTGAAATATTTAAGGGGATAGGTAGGATATAGTGCTGCCTTGATCCAACATTTTTGTATAATCTCAGGATTGGGTTTTAAACAGTCCACCTGGTCTGCATTCTCAACAGAAGATTAGGCATCCACGTATTCATAAATGGTTCAGTCTGGACCAGATCTCCTACTAACTCATCTCTAAGTATTGGAAACAGGAATGCTGTTTAGTATTTCCTATTAAACTCAATCACTGAACATCATAACTTCATACAATATTGGCTAAAACTGGAGACTCTGCTCATATCTTATCTGTAAAGTCACATACATGATAAGTTAGTATCTGAAAACTCAGCAGGGTTTCAGAAGTTCATAAATTTTATGGTGTCAATGATATTTAACTGCGATCTAAGACTCCATCCTCCCTAACCATGAAGTCACAGAAGGTTAGGTTTGTGTATTATATGTGTTCCTTGAACTTAGTATTGTCCCTTCTATGTCATATTTCTCTGTGGTGAAGGTGTTGGAATGTGTGTATGTGTGTTTGTTTACCTATTCAGAGGGAAAATATTCCATACTACAATCTTTGTGATATATGAGTTAATAATCTAAATAAAACTCTCCAACATATAGAAAGTATGACATCATTAATGGAAGTTGCACATGTGCAGACCATTAAAAGACATGACTTCTGAATACAGACAACGTTCTTATTACTTTTGTGAAATTACCTAACCTGGTGCAAGTAAATCAGTCAGTAATCATGTAATGTACTTAGCTCTAATAACTTCAGCAAATTCCAGAATATACCTAGATATCATGCTCTATCTAATTATTTATATGAGTAATCCACAGTCCAAATGACATGTGGAAGCAGTTGGCTTTACAATCCCATAAGCTCACGGAAGTGTTCTCCTCCATTGTCAGCTTCTCAGGATGCCGGCAGGAATCATGGCTGTAGACCTTGATTGCAACTTCATTATGCAGCACTGTCAGAGTCTATATCAGAAACAAAAGACATTAATTAATGGGCATCAAAGGGTAAATGAATGTCAGTATTCTTAAAGCAATAAACATGCATTTAAAATAACTAAAATTTATATTTTTAAATGTCACAATTTATTGACTTTAAGAAGCCAATAATTCTCAAAGCTTTTCAGCGATTAATAGTTTCCCATCCGAGCTAAGGGGTTGGTGATACACAACTTTAATCCCATCACATAAGGGGCAGAGGCAGGGGAACACTCTGCCACTGCTGGTGGGAGTGCCAACTCGTACAGCCGCTTTGGAAATCATTATGGAGATTCCCCAGGAAAAGGGAAATCAGTTGGAATTCAGGCACATGCAAAACCAAAAAGTTCAAACCAGCAATGGCAATGACTTTGAAAAGCCGCACAGGTATATGTTTCCTGTCCTTAAGCCAGCAGCTCTACTGACTAGAGACTACTGTCCAGCAGCCATTATTTTCTATGTATATAAATGAGGCATCTTTAAGAAGCCTTTTCAAGCCAGGCTTTGGTGGCACATGTGTTTAAAACCATCACTTGGGAGGCAGAGGCAGGCAGATCTCTGTGAGTTCGAGACCTGCCTGGTCTACAGAGTGAGTTCCAGGACAGCCTCCTTATGCACAAGGAAACCCTGTCTCAAAAAACAAAAGAAAGAAGCCTTTTCAAACCAGTAAGTTCATGAGCATCACTAATAGGCTACGTGAATATAGGGACTCTAATCCATGTAATAACCCCCCAAAAGGAACTGATTGAATTTACATAAAATACTTTCAAAGCAAAGAAAATGCACTAAGCTGGGTAAATAAGGAAAGAACATGGGGAGAGAATGAGCACATCCAAGGTTCATCTATTCAATTATTACTTCTCTCAAGATGAGAATTAGGCAAAGAAATAATAAGAGTGCCTGATTCTTGATATAATTTGAGATTAGATTAGAGTTAGGAATCCAGTAAACTCTAGCAGTTAGTATAAACTGGTAGTATTGTGTAATGTTAATTCTTCTTTCACAAATATGTAATTCAATCATCAACTCCTTATTTTTGAGTAGCAATAAATAAAAGCAATGAATAAAATATGACATAAAATTGCTTTTTTGCTTTAATTTTTACTTTTATTTTGGAGGGCTCTTGAACAGGATTTGTCTGTGAAGGCCTGTTGTTCTATGGTGTTTTAGAACTGACCATGTAGACCGGGCTAGCCTGAAAATCAGAAGTCTCTCCCAAGACCTGGGATGAAAGGTGTGAGTAATGACAGCTCTGCAGAAATAAACTCCTAGCACTTCACTTCTTACCCACTTGACCAGTAAGTGTATTTCCATGGTTAAATGATGTAAAAACCCAATAAGCTAAACATTCTGATCCAACTCCATAAATGGTTTTTCCTTCACATTCTCCACCATTCCCCACACTGCTAAGCTTACTAATGATCTCATGATTTGGTGAAGCACCATTTATTTATAGCTTCCATGTTGTCCAAAAGCAATACCTTTCTGAACTAGAAAAGTCACGCTGCAGGATGTCATAAAAAGAGCATCTGTGAAAGGAACTTATGGGATATATTTGAGTAAACATCTGTATGAGTATGTAAGTATAATCAACTTAGCACTGCTTTCTCACTAAAATAATTTCATCCTTGCAGAATACACTACATAGAGATTATTAAACTTTATTGGTATGATGAGAGTCATCAGGGAGTCTAAAGGCTGACCTTGTGTCTGTAGTAGCAGTGATAGCCTTTCTGTCCAGCATACCTTGCTGCTGGTGAAAGCACAGGCTGTGCAGATCATCCTCTTCCCAGTATAACTTTTCACAGAAGGCAGGGGAAACATCTTAATCTGGAAGCATTGTTGCCTCCATTAAGAACAGGGCAATAGATTATCTTCAACTCTGTGAAGTCCTAATGAGTCTTGAAACCCTACGGAAACAATTTACCACAGAATTATTCTTTGTTTCAGTATTTTTCCATAGGAACTATGACTCAACACAAATCCTAACAACTTTCATTCTAGTACAACAATACAGACCTCTTCCTCTGCATATGCATTCTTTCATGACATCCAAGATGCATTATCTTTCTATAGACACTCAGTACATGGTGTTATATATCACTTAAAAGTGCAAAGGATTTTCAGGCTTTCAAAGATCATGCTGAATATAGGAATCGGCAAGGCTCCTAAATGTCCACAACAGTCTCAAAGCCCTTGCTGTGAACAAAAAAAACAAACAAATGGGCATCATACATGACTATGCTCATACTTAGGTCTGTCATAAGTGTTTGCTCCACCTCTAATCTCCTGTATATTCTGACTTTCCTGGTTAGCCATTGCTCTATGTCTAATATCCACTGATGACAGAGTACGATGCAATGTTTTTCTTTCTGTGTCTGGATAACATCATTTAGGGTAGTTTTTTAATTGTATTAAAATCAGTACTCATGTGGTAACTCTTTGTTTTTAAAAACATCTTGCTTCCTTTTTACTACATGATTTTTTTCCTCCAAAGGGTGCACTTGTTGGGATCCCTTTGCTTCAAATTATTTGCTGAGGTGGGATAATCCTTCTATTCACAGTGAAGAGATTCTGCTTTCATTGTTGTTAAAATTCTGATTGGCAGAAGGCTAGGCAGGATTTGTGGGCGATGTGAATGCTGGGAAGAAGTGTTCAGTTAGAAAGATGCATGTGACACAAATCTAGAATAATGGGAAGTAATGCATGAGGTAAAGGAGCCTCAGGTCCGCAAACACAATTGTTTTTGGAAATGTTTGAGTAGAAAGGAATGTGAAAAGGTAATAAGATCATGATCTCAAAGGGGTAAAAAACGAGAAAGGATATTTTGGTAAAAAATGTTCTTTCTATGGGAGTGTGGACCAATGATGGGATAATGAGATAAGAGGAAGGAATAATGGCAATGAAATTATTGAATGCATTATTCAATATATTGATAAAATATTGTATGTTTGTACAGCTCCATTATCTATACCCTAACCTAAAATCCATCTCCAACCCTACTATGACATAGCTACACTAAGAAGAGAATCATCTTCTTTGTGTGTGTGTGCATGTATTTTGTGTGTGTGTGTGTGTGTGTGTGTGCGTGTGCGTGCACATGCAATTCTGCCATAAGGTGTACATTTAGGAAACATGCAAAGACAAAAATTTACTAACTGGTCCTGGTGCCCTCATTTTTTAAAAAGTTTCATTCAGTGTAAACATATAAATATTGTATATTTGTAAAAAGCCAATTTCCATAACTTAGTATAAAATTCCTCCCCTATACCCACTTGTTGGGGAAGTCCTGTGTATATGTCAATAAAGCACTGCTGGTCAATAGGAAATAGAGATAGGTGGGACTAGGAGTCCAGGAGGACTCTGGGAAGGAGAAACACAGAGGGTCAAGATGTAGCACCATGGGGTAGGAAGTCTGGAAAGTTCTCCAGTAAGAGATATACTTAGATTAACAATTATCGGGTAATTACTTAAGTCAGAGCTAGCCAGTAAGAAACAAGCAAGGCCAACAGCTTCATAATTAAAATAGCCTTCTGTGTATATATTTGGGACTGATACAGCTCTGGAACCAGGCTGGCGGGAAGGCGTCTCTCAAGGAAAAGGATTCCCTTTACACTTATTAACACTATTATAAGCTGACTCTGAGGACTCCCTTCTCTTTGTGTCTGTGTCTGTAGCTGTGGACATATATGCATTTATGCACACATATGTCTCTGTGTATGTTCATGTGCACATGACTACATATATGTGTGTATATGTGGGGGCCCATTTCCTTTGCTTTTATTTTTGAATGTATAATAAAACTACAAAATTTCTCCCTTACCTTTTCTCTTTCAAATCCTCCCATACACCACTATATACACTCTTTCTAATAATCATTATTTGATGAATGAAATATGTTTATGAATACAGATATTATCTTAAATATACCCTAATGAGTCTAATAATGCTACCTCTGTGTATGTTCTCAAAGCAGATCTTGGATAGTAAACAAAACTGGTGTACACATCGCTAAGAATGGCATCTGCCTTTTACAGATTTCTTCAGTTACATATAGAACTTTTTGTAGTGTTGAGTCATTGCAGGCTTCTATTTGTCCAGTTTGGTAAGTTTATATTTGTCATGTTTAATCAGATGATTTTTAGCTTGGCATATTGTTGAGAAACTATTAGCAGTGCATCTTATATAACTAAAAGACGTAATGTCATACCCAAGTCCTTGAAAATCTGCCTCTTTCAATTTTTCTGCCACATTCAATTCAACATTGCCTGAACATTGTGTGTGGAAGAGTTTTCGAGATGTATCCATCATGACTGTGCAGGCTTCCAACAGAGCAATGCAATCAGCACTCTTACATAACTGCAAGTTATAAACAACATTAGTGAACAGCAGAGCAAAATAACCCAAAGGGTGCAATATTGACACACATACCTGGAGAAACCCAACATCTCTCAAATTACAATCATGACTTGCATAACAAGAAGGATATCATGCTATGTACTGGAAAAGTAGTTAAATATTCAGTCGTATGAAATCATAATTATTGGAGGATAATCTACTACTATAAATTTATTAAATAAAATCAACATGATCTCTGAAATTTATAACTATGTTCCCTCATATCCAAGAAGATTTTTAGCCTTCCATTCACACCAAGGAACTTCTCCTGAATGGAGACCATAAAAAATGAGTTGTGGAGCTCAATATCCAAAAGCTACATAAGAACCACTTAGGTTTTACTTTTTATACATCCATGTGCAGAAAACTGGGAAATCGTGGGTAGATTCTGCAAGCAAAGCTCCTGAAGAAAACTGACTGTCCCTTCTGCATAAATCCATAAAATGCCAGTAGCTACTAAAATATGAGTGAGATATCATGAGGTCCTCCACTAGCTCTTCTGAGTCTTTTACTAGCTTGACCTGAGACAAGCAAGTCTTGTACATAGATTTATAACTGTAGGGCATACGTGCCATTCTGCCACCATGTTCAGCAAATACTAAATGATTCAAATATCTTCTGCCTCTGGCCATTTGATACAATAATACTCACAAATTTACCAAATAATAGTATTTTGCTTTCCAGCTATACTCATGTATCTGTCATTGACCATCATCTACTTGTATTGCAAAATCCACAACTATCCATGAATGTTTACTTTTATATTCTAGAAATAAAATCTGGTGCTCATAATTAAAAGTGTGATTCTGCCTGAACGAACTTCACATCCAGGCCTATTTTGAGCTAAAGGAAAAAGTAACACATTGAATATATTTCAAGGTCTATTAAAGTTGACCACTGAATATAATTGAAAGGCCATTAGACTTAACCATTGAATAAAATTTATGGTCCATAACCATGAACATTCTATGTAAATCTACAGAATTTTCTTCCATGTCACTGAGTGATGCCTGAAGCTGCAATACATTTTTCTGAAATAATAAAATCTAGGGAGGTGTCTTTGTTGTCCTAATGTGAGCCACTAAGATTTAAGGGTACGTAAGCAGCACATAGGAATCTCTACTACATTCCACATCACGTGTGAGCCAAAATTCTCTGTAAACATTCATATTTGCTATACTTGCACATAAGTTTGATTTTAGAATTTCTTATAATGCTAATGTGTTAAAGAGAATCTTGTATGCTGTTCAGCTCATATTTCGTCTAAAATATAACCACACAATCATTTTTTAATATGTGCTTTTTTATTTTTATTAAAAAAATTTACCTCTTATCTTGCTCACCTCTATTCCTCTCCCCACTCAATCTTCCTGATGCCTCATATTCTCCCCCACGTCCTTTTCACCCCTCCTCCTTCTCCTATCTTCCTTCCCTCTTCTTCCATAATCCCCATTTGTTCATGGGCTCTTGTCCCTTTCTGCTTCACTGGGGGACTGTGTATGTCTAACTCAGGGTCCTCCTTGTTTCCTAGCTTCTCTGGAGGTGTGGATTTTAGGCTGGTAATCCTTTTCACTATGTCTAAAATTCATTTATGAGTGAGGATATACCATGTTTGCCTTTCTGTGACTGAGTTATCTCATCTAGGATGGTTTCTTTTAGTTCCATCCATTTACTTGCAAATTTCAAGATTCCATTGTTTTATTTTTTCCACTGAGTAGTACTCCATTGTGGAAATGTACCACATTTTCTGTATCCATTCTTTGGTTGAGGGACATCTAGGTTGCTTCCAGGTTCTGGCTGCTAAAAATAATGCTGCTATGAACATGGTTGAAAAGATGCCCTTGTTGTATGAATGTGCATCCTTTGGGTTTATGCTTAAGAGTTGAGTTATTTGATCTTGAGTTTGACTGGTTCCCATTTTCCAAAGAAACCGCCATATTGATTTCCAAAATAACCATGCAATCCTAAGCTGACCACTGCTGGCAAACTTACTGCAAAACTTAAATGAATTTCATGATATTCCAAACCTTCCATAAGCACCATCATTTCCAAATTCTAAGCCCTTACTCACATATGAGACTCCTGGCAGTTTAAATATACATGTGAATTGTTTGTGATATCTCTGGTCAATGGAGTAGACATATATAATGAGCATGGAAAAATTGTGTCAAACAGTGTACACCTGGCCAAATATCGACTGTCAGTCAGATAATGTGTATTTGAAAGAACCTACAGTCAGAAGTTTTTAAGGCAGTAAAATACATTTAAAACATGTTTCCTTTTATACACAGATCAGTGTAGCACTCACCCTCAGCAAACTAGCTTCATTTTCCATAGAATGATATGATAACAATAATCCACTGGTCAAAATACAACGGACTCTGCTATGCCCAGTAACAAAAAATAGTGTTTATCCCTGGCGTACAAATGGACTTTGTGTGTCCATAACACAAAGAGGGATGCTCTCTCTCAGCCTGGACTCTTAGGGGAGTGTCTGGACCCAGCCCTGAGCAAACTGGCAGACTATGGATATCCCCTATGTGGAAGAAAGTGGGGATAGGGTGGGAGGCTGGGGGGATGGTAGGAGGACTGTGGGAGGAAGGGAGGGAGAGGGAACTGGGACTGACATGTGAAGCAAGCTCCTTAAAATTAAAGTAATAAAATACTTTAATTATTGAATTAAAAAAAACCTCACTCAGCAATGCACACTTGGATACTATTGTGGAAGAAGTAGAATAAATACCATACAATACAGAGAAATATTATTCCTGCTGTGAGAAAGTATCTTCTATACATGACTGTAAAGGTTGATTGTTTATATTTCAAAATTGGAAGCATAAAGATTAATAAAAAGTATAAAACTCTTGGATTAATGGTGTGTGCTTAGGGCTGAGCCTAACCACAGCTCGAAGAAGGTTCTTCCAGTAAACAATTCCATCTCAGAATTCACACTGTGATCAAATATCTCACAACACATGATATTTTATAAATTTATTTAAAATTTACTTAGTCCTGACCAATAAGATTGTTTCTTTACTCTTTTGCTGTTTGATTCATCCATGCTGTACATTTTACATTAATTATGCCATATAAAGGTTAGAAGTATTGCCGGGCAGTGGTGGTGCATGCCTTTAATCCCAGCACTCGGGAGGCAGAGGCAGACGGATCTCTGTGAGTTCGAGGCCAGGCTGGACCAACAGCCCCGAAAACAATACAGAGAAACCCTGTCTCGAAAAACCAAAAAAAAAAAAAGGTTAGAAGTATTACCATGTTACTTGAAGTATTACTAACACAATTATTATAATATATTAAATATTATTTATGCTAGGTAAAATAATGCGGAACACATAAGAAATATAGTTGTGAAAAATTGCCTGTCCATATGCACACAAGTTTATGGAGCCATGGGATGCAAATAGGAAAAAATGAATTTGTTCTAGAAGGAATTGTCTGAGGGATCAGCACAGTTTTTGTCTGTGGAAAGGGGAACACCTGTCATATGCTGAAATGCCAGTGGGTTTTTATTTTTTTCAGGTCTCACAAAAGACCTTGTGATAATCAATTTCAAGTCTGTGAATAGATCAAGCGGATATAATCAATCCCTACATCTAAAACCTTACATTCATGCTAGCATAGGACCACCTCTTAACCTTAAAGGAAAGTGTGCATGGGAATGATATAATAATGTGGAATGTATATAGTTTTTTAAAGATCTGACTTACCTAATAAACAAGATTTACTTTTTATGATATCTGTACATGCATATTTACGTTGGGATATTTATGTTCTGATACTTTTTTGAAAACACAAAAAGAAGTCAGTGATGACAAGTATGCAGAAGAATGGATGCCTTCTCTCAGCATTCAGAGAGGTGTACATTCAATTAATAAATATTCTTCATAAAATGCTAGTAGATACATCAGACACTTAAAACTCATAAACACTTTGGTTTGGCAATTTTCAAAAAAAAAGATTAATAAAAAGTATAGTGATTCTTCAACTTTAAATGCCAAAGTAGACGGGAGATATTCACAGGGTCTAACTGCTAACTATAGAGCTACTTGTAAATGATATATGCTAAAATATGAAGAAGCAGGCTTCTCCAGGGTGAGCCCTTTGATGGGAGAGATTAGTCAAGAACACAGCCCTAAACTCATGCACACATGCTCTATATGAGGAATGTACAAATGCTGAAAGATTCAACAGTTTTTTTAAAATTACATTTAATTACATATATGATACTATAAAATTAATAAAAAGTTAAGTTATGTGTCAATTTTTCAAAACTCTAGAAATTTCAGTGTTGAATAATCTTTGATAATCATTACCACAGACACCTGAGATCATTACTACATGACTCCATCAGGCTCCATTTTTGCTGGTGCCAGAGGCTACTCTGCACTGTTGATCTAAAAGGTCCCCTATTTCACTTTAGACCTCCATACCTATAAAGAATACTACTGTAAATTTGCATGCATTTCTTTAATCCAATATACCTACTGTATGGGAAGCCATTGGCAAATTGTCAGGTTCACATTGCATTTTGCTACATATCTTACCTTACAATACAAGTATCTCTCATAGCTGAATCTTATCATGAGACACATTTCTCTGTAAACACAAAAGGATCCATGTTTCCTCTGCATCAAGTTGCTGATACTTCTGTTACTGACGTGGCATTCCCAGGTAGAAAACAGTCATGTAGGTATCAAGCATACCTGCCATCAAGGAGAAAAAGTCTGTTATTCTGAGATTTTTCAAAACATTGCCATTCTGCAGGTGGCCTCATTTTCATGATACACCTCATACTCGAGCCTGTATACAAAGCCATTTACATTCTTGCCAGACTCAGACTTGCATAAAAATTAGTGGCAAAGTAATAATATACCTTAAATGATAGTTCTGCAACAGTCAGATATTTGGGTAAATCCCATAGAGAAATTTAGAATTATTAGCAATTCATAAGTCATACCTGACTGTCCAGATTTGGCCTTAATCAAAAGAGTCAAATCATTTTACATTGTACTGCAAAAGTTCAATGACTAAAAAAATATAAAATATCTTACAATTCTAAATGTAAAGGACTATCAGAACTATGTAAATAAGTCTTGAATAAAAATTTCTGCAAATCAGTTCTATCCAGATTCAGGAGTTAAATCTGAAGAAAAAGAGAAACACAAGGACTGATGAAATAACAAGGTGATTATTTTATATTTACCCAAAAACATATGGTGTAATTAAATATATGTGAATATATTTAACTGAAATTATAAATTCTTGGAATGATAATACAGCCTCAAGAAGAATATATGTAATCTCACAGTACCTCTAGATAGAGGCAGAAGGAAACTACTTTTGAGTTGTTTGTAATTGGAGTCCAAGAGACCACCAAAAAGGTAAAGTCTATTACTAGTACACTTGGTTGAATCCAACAAGTGACAGTTTAATCCCCACTGCAGATATCACTGCATTTATCTGGATCAATGGGAATTTGAATTAGAATTTATCAAACTTTATCTCTGAGGAGCAGCTTTCAGAGACCAGGAAGATGTTAGGAAATCAGTTAAGGGAAGAAAGTAATGAAGAGTCCAGCCTAGTTATGATGCCATTGAATGACCAGTGTGGCAAGATATCATTAAAGATAAACTAGTAGTTTTTACAACTTGTTCACAACCAACACCTACCTGGTGGGATCCAGGGCTTGCCTAACAAGAAAAAAAAATCTTGCCTCATAATGGAAATCAGCAAATGTTGTGTGAATGATGACCCCAAAGAACTTAAATGAAATTGAAACTACTTTCATTAACGACTATAATCCCTAACTGCAATGCAAACTCATTCCTTATACCCAGTGGATATTATTGACACAAGAACACTAATGGGATTCAGCAGATTCTGTTTATATGTAAGAGTAAGTGTGTGTGTGTGTGTGTGTGTGTGTGTGTGTTGTAAGTAATGAGCTACAATAATGAAGAGGTTATTAATATGAAAGAGGAATGAGGATAACTGAGAAAGGATTGCAAGGATATGGAAATCATGTAAATACACTAATCTTCTATGAAGCAGGTAATTTTATAAAAAAATTGCAAGTGATCTTAGAATCAATGGTTTCAGCAGAAGAGCATGAAGAGATGAAAAATTGGAATGAAATGAACAAAACTTGTTGTACAAATGTATGAAAATTATATTTAATAAGAATTATTAATCCAAGATAAGAGAAGACTCAACAGATCAGGTCAGATATACAGCTGGAATTTCATGAAATTAAATGAAATGTAATACCTATAATCCTAAATGGTGGAGTGCATTCTCAATAGTTACAAAGGAATAGAATCAAGAGAACATTTACTGGAAGACATGCTCAAGAAATTGTTGGAGAAAATGAACAGCAGGTGTATCTCTGGCAAAATAAATAAAATACATATATGTGTAAAGAACATCATGTGGTATCTAGAGAAATAGGAAGACATGTATAAAATGTATCGAGTTTAAACTATGGTGATATATGTGAAGCATGCATGTTTCTAATTTAAATAAAAACATACACTGGGGGAAAAACTTCTAAAAAACTATGGTTAGAAAATAAAATTCATGGAGACATAATAATTTGTGATTTACACAAATGAAAGTTATAGTGAATTACAAAAGTAAGATAATCCCCCCAAATTACAATACAACCAGCCAGGAGTGGTGTCGGTTTCTTCAGTGAAAGCTTCTCAGGAGAGGGCAGAGAAGGACGTCCTCAGTTACTGAGACTGACATCATCATGAACAGTAGGTTGATGTCATGTGTCATAAAAAGAAAAAGAACATGTTTAAGAAAAAATAGTAATTATAATATATATGCTTATATATACATATATACTAGAAGTAAGTCATTTTCATATGATTAGTAAGATCAAAATGAGGATGAATAAGTACCAAAGTCTTAGAAGAATTGTGTTACTATTATTATAAATGCCATATTCACAATTAACGTATACATTGGATGCAGTGTACATTGAGGTTCCAATATGTGCCATTCCTTTGTACTAATGATCAACAAAAATATAAAATATGTACAGAAACAGAGTAAATCTAGTATCAATGAAATTATCCTGAGAACAAGAACAAATCACCAAATTATAAATCACATTTCTTGTTTACAAAACTTACTACAATGAGACAACATACTCAAACACACACACATACTTATATAAATACAAATTATTTGAGAGAAGTTGTGTGTTCAAAATTATCATATAATTATTATCATTTAACTCATATTACAATTGCGAAAATGCATACTAGGTAAAATATTTCTCTAAAGTCCTAGGACAAGTGGATACCACATGAAAATTGACGTTTTATTCAAATAAAACTTATAGCTGATGATAGATTTATTTAAATATTCGGGAGGTGTGGTGTGTGTGTGTGTGTGTGTGTGTGTGTGTACAATTAATGAAGAAGACATCATGAATTTTAAAGTGTACAAGGATTATATGGCAGGATTAGAAGACAAGAAATGACAGGGAGAAATTATGAAATTATATTAAAACTTCAAAAATTTTAAACAAATGTTCATGCATAAACTGAAGGTGAATCATAGGAAAATAAAGGAAAAATGGAGTTCTAAGGTGTGTGTTATGTTCCTAAAAAGGAAAAATTTATTGGGCTGTATTTGATACGGTGGATCATCTGGTAGACTACAATAGCTTTCAATTTTAATATTAGCATCAAAATAGCATCTCTGATTTGAGGTTATTTTATGTGCATATAAAGGAGATTCCACTAATTAATATGTATTCTAAATAATGTTGTGATATTATTTTAGTTCCTTACAAAACCAACGTGGCAGAGAGAAAGACAGTTTCATACTTATTTATCATCCTATTTTTGTACTTCATTCAGATATGTCCATGCAAATATAAACAAATAATACTGACAGGAAAGGAATTCACATAGAAAAGTCGATGATATCTAGTAATTCAACCACTTTGCTCATATTTAAACAATTTTCTCATTTCATTCACTACCATAAGAGCACATTGTACCTAATTTAAGATGTGTAACCATTTTTTTCTACAAACTAAGTTCTTCATGGGTCAAATTCATTTCTATATAATTCATCATCCCACAAATGAAAATTCATTTCATAGTCAAGGCTGGGGAGAATAATGAAGGTTCATCTCTTCTGTATCTCCTTCTAAGTTTATCTTTCTGTGGCTCTGTTTCATTTCCTGACCATGCAGGAAATTTTCTCTTGGGAACACTGGCAATAATTTTAAAAATTGTGCTAATACATAACTTTCAAAATCTTTCCTGGGGTCTATTTGATAACAAAATAGTTAAAACTATAAAAGGGAAGAAAATTATGAATCCACATGACAATAATTGGGAAAAATACCAACTAATAGCCAAAGCAAAACCGTCCAGAATATACAAAATGTTATGTATTACATATGGGAGTAGCACACGTGCAGATCTTTAAGGGACAGTAATAATCAAGAATATTCACCCTTGTCATCTCCATTTTGCATTTCCAGGAACGTTTCCTATACACAGTTGCTGTGGAAAATAAACACTGCACATTTCTGATTCTAAGATATCTGATGCAAAAGGCAAACAATATTTTTACCATTTTTGTTAAAGGGCATAACTTTGTGTAAAGTAAACACTCAGTAATCTAAACAATTACTTAGGTCTGATAATGTTCAAATTTCAAAATATAATATATGAGAAAATATAAGTTTGAATCTAATTATTGACATGAGAAATTACAATCCAAAATGAAATTAGGAAACAAGTGGTTTTACAATACCATAATCTAAGGGAACTGATTCTTCCAGTGTCATCTTCTCAGGATGCAGATAGGAAGCATGGCTTTACTGCTTGAGTTGCCATCACACTAAACATAATGGTCAGAAGATATGTCAGACATACACAAAAAAAATTAAGGCAAAGTACATGAAGAATTCACTATGAGTATTTCTAATGCTAAAAATATATTTAAGATAATTAATAACAAGCATTTATATTTTAAATGTTGCAATTCTGATTTTTAAGAAGCCTATAATTTTCAAAGATATTCAGAGATTAAAAGTATCCTATCCATATTGAAGATATATTAGTATTTTCTCTATTCCAAAACTTATTTATTGATCATAAGGTATACATGAGAGTTTTCTTGTCTCAGCAACCCACTGCGCTACTCTGCCCCAAATAAACATAGAGATGCTTTATTATTTATGAAACTGTTGACCGATGGCTAGGGATTCTTATTGGCTACCTCTGTCTTAATTGTTAACCAATTTCTATTAACCTATGTATTGCCACTAGCTGTGGCTTACCAGGTAATGCCCTGGCTTGTTGTTAATCCTTCAGCAGAATGGTGACTCTGATGGGCTCATGCCTATCATTCCCAAAATTCTCCTCATCTGCTAATTCCTCCTATCTTCCTTTCTCATTGGCTGAACTGTGTTTTTTATCAACCCATAAGAGAAATTTATATAAAGAAGATGATCCCAAATCAGTAAGGAACTTCCATGAGGGAGCCAACATTGACACAATATACAGATAGAAAATGAAAGATTGAGAACTTGATATATCAGTTATATTTTAAAACTTAGGAAAACCTGGTAGTCATGAAATCATTGGGATATGCCTAAATAACATCTAGTACAATGAAAACAGGTGCTTAAAATGAAGAATATATACGTGTGTGTGTGTGTGTGTGTGTGCGTGTGTAATCATTGGTGTCTGAGGGTTCTGCTATATGTACACAAGGGTATGGAGCCAAGGACAACACCAGATCACTTTCTCCATCCAGATCCTCGTCCTTTTCTTTGACACAGAATCTGCCATTTCTACTAGAGCTCATTAGCATGTTACCCTGGAAAACCAATTTTGAGCTAACAATGGTATTGTGTGTGTGTGTGTGTGTGTGTGTACGTGTATAAGACACTAAACAATCTCAAAATCACCTGATAGTTTCAGAAGACCTAGTAATTTTCAAAACCAAACGGACAACTGGATACAGCATGAAAATTGAGTTACTCATTCATGAGCCCACAAAATACATTTAAATTTCCCAAATACTAATACATACCTAAATATTAACACCTA